TCAATACACAGTGTTTCGGGGAATTCACCCCTCATCAGTTGAGCTTGAGTAGGCTGAGGAAGATTGTGCCTGAAGAGCACCACTTATATAGTGCTCTCCAGGCACAAACATCACCAGGGATACAAACTTACAGAGACGCTCCGCTTCCAGCGCGATAAACACCTCGTGAACACCAGATAGCATCGTGAGTCAGTGTCACTCCTGGACGGTGAGACAGACGTCGAGGACCCTCGGTCATTAGCAGGGCATTAGCAGGGAGTGGTGCTTTCTTGCTGGTTTGCCGAGTCGAAGGTTCGATGGACTTCTCGTGTGCTCTGGATGGCAGTCGTGAGTCAGTCAAGTGTCAAGTAAAGTCGGCGGAATAGCGCGAGCTCCGGTGTGGGGAGCAAACCTTTCTTACAAATCATCGCCGAAGTCGCAACCACTACTTCGTACTGTTGTGCCCAGCGCGGGCATGCGACTAGTTGGTTTGGAGGTGACAGCGTTGCGAATGACCGAGGGTCCTCGACGTCTGTCTCACCGTCCAGGAGCGACACTGACTCACGATGCTATCTGGTGTTCACGAGGTGTTTATCGCGCTGGAAGCGGAGCGTCTCTGTAAGTTTGTATCCCTGGTGATGTTTGTGCCTGGAGAGCACTATATAAGTGGTGCTCTTCAGGCACAATCTTCCTCAGCCTACTCAAGCTCAACTGATGAGGGGTAAATTCCCCGAAACACTGTGTATTGAGCAGGGAGTGGTGCTTTCTTGCAGGTTTGCCGAGTCGAAGGTTCGATGGACTTCTCGTGTGCTCTGGATGGCAGTCGTGAGTCAGTCAAGTGTCAAGTTAAGTCGGCGGAATAGCGCGAGCTCCGGTGTGGGGAGCAAACCTTTCTTACAGATTGGATTATGCATGCTGTTTTCTTGACTATTCACATCAGATTCTATTTTTTCCGTTGTCACTTGTACAAATTACTGGAGTGATGTATCTCGGAAATTCTTTTCTTTATAGCTGTAGTCTCTTAGCATATTTTCATCATTCCCTGTAGCATTTTGAGAAGAAGGGAACGAAAACGTTCAATACTTTTTGACACATGTCCTAATGCGCAGGTTCATGCGTAGCCAATACATTTTTTGGAGTATTATTAGTGAACAAGCGTTTCGGAGACAGAAGTTATAATATAGCCATAAAGACAACTAAGTGCACCGTAAGCATTTCATATAATGTCGACATGTATGTGTAAAATGTTGTACGATTATCACCTTTTTTGTTTCGCTCTTTTTCCCCTTCTTTCACTTTTATCTATCCATATAAGATTAGTTTCAAGTAGTCCTTATTCCATTGTTACGTAGATTCACTGATGATTGTAACAAGAAAACAATTCTGAACAAATCCTCGCTTTCCATTTCGTTGTGTGCCTTGCGATAATCCTACAACATTTTACACATACATGTCGACATAATGAAATGCTTACGGTGCAATTAGTTGTCTTTGTAGCGATATTATTATTATTATTATTAGTAACTCGGATGTTGAGCCATAAATAAATGTAGAAAAGAAAAGGACATATGGATACAAGTTAAGAGTAACTCTCCATCACTGTAACTGGATACTATATTATACAGTCAGAAAGTGCAATAACTAGGCACAAAACTGACAAGAGTACTGAGACATTCGCCGTCCTGACACCTAGCTTCAACACATCTCCGTAGCGCTAACCGACAGCCTTCCAACTTGGAAGGTTCAAGGTTATGAAAAGACCAAAGAGGGGAAGGCAAGCGCAACGAAAACGAGCACAAGCTACAGTCCCAACGGAACAAAGAATGTCGATTGTTACTGGACGATGACGAGACCAGTACGATAGTTGACAAAGCGGTCTAACTACAATTCGAAGCAGCAAAGCAGCACACCACCCAACTTGGGCGGGTCATAAATATCAAAGATAGGTAAAGAAAGGGGAAGCTTTGCGAAAACGAATTGTACAAGCCGAAAGCCAAACTCCTACAGTACTCCTCATGCATGACATTGTGATGGACTAGTTGACTACAAAACAAGTTGTTTCACACGACGTACGTTTCGCCGTATGGTTCGTGACGGCTCATCAGGTGTGCATATTGAAACTCGGATGTTGAGCCATAAATAAATGTAGAAAAGAAAAGGACATATGGATACAAGTTAAGAGTAACTCTCCATCACTGTAACTGGATACTATATACAGTCAGAAAGTGCAATAACTAGGCACAAAACTGACAAGAGTACTGAGACATTCGACGTCCTGACACCTAGCTTCAACACATCTCCGTAGCGCTAACCGACAGCCTTCCAACTTGGAAGGTTCAAGGTTATGAAAAGACCAAAGAGCTTTTTAAGAGCTTTTGCTCGTTTTCGTTGCGCTTGCCTTCCCCTCTTTGGTCTTTTCATAACCTTGAACCTTCCAAGTTGGAAGGCTGTCGGGTAGCGCTACGGAGAGGTGTTGAAGCTAGGTGTCAGGACGTCGAATGTCTCAGTACTCTTGTCAGTTTTGTGCCTAGTTATTGCACTTTCTGACTGCATATAGTATCCAGTTACAGTGATGGAGAGTTACTCTTAACTTGTATCCATATGTCCTTTTCTTTTCTACATTATTATTAGTTTTCAAGGTTTCGTTCTTGGCGCGTATATCAGTTACCAGACCCTGTGAAAAATTGTAAAGGCCTCCAAAGCGGTGGGATGTAGGCGTCTTTCTCTTCTGCAGGGATGGAGGGCCACTGGATGGAAAGGGCGCACTCTGCATTCATATTAAAGTAGTATAGTCTGAGCAAGTGAGCTAAATCATAAAGTTCAACTGTTACGTTTGCTTACTACGCAAAAGATGTGCATTTGGCTTAGTACTCATCCTGAGCGCAAACTAGTTCTTTTGGGATAATGATCAGTTACATTATATGCTTAACATAGTCACGAGAAAACGTTCTGTAATTGTTTCATTTTCATTTTTTCGTACATGGTTATGAGTGCACAATTAGTTTTGTGCATTGCTATTTTAAATCATACATTTTAGTTGTAATAAGTGAACAAAGCCAATACTACACGAAGCAACTATTATTTCCGAAAGAAGCTTAAAATGCTGATCTGAAGACAACGGTGGATGCTGTGTCCACTACTTTAAGTGAAACCTTTGATTCCTAATCGATCCGAAGTCGCTACTTACAGGATATGTGTTTGTTGGAGATGTCGGCGTTGTGAATAGCTACAGGCTCTCAGCGTCTGTTTAGCGCACCTCCACGAGCGACTCTGGCTTAAACTGCTGCCTGGGGCCTCACGACGTGTGTGCTTGTGTGGCTGTAAATGGTGCGTCCCTGTAAGTTTGTATCCCTGGTGATGTTTGTGCCTGGAGAGTACTATAATTATAGTGCTGCTCTTCAGGGACAATGTTCCTCAGCCCAATCAAGCTCAATGGATGAGGGGTAGATTCCGTGAAATACTATGTGTTGAACAGGGGTGGTTCTTTCGCGTTTGCCGAGTGGAAGGAACGACGTGCTCCTCCCGTGCTTCGGATTGCAGTGACGGGTCAGTAAAATGTCAAGTTCTGCAACAAACTTCACACTAATACCGCGGAAGGTGCTACTTCTTCCAGGATACCTTTGAATCCTAGTTTGAGCTACATTTGACTGACACATTATAATAGTTTCACATCATGAGCTCACGCGCGGAAACACACACATACACACTCACACCCCAACACAAACGCAAACACACATGCACAATCTATCTATTTCCATATTAATCTTCACCTTAGCGCGAGACATGGGATCACCCAAGCTTCATGCTGACTCTGCAACACCTGACAAGAGGTGATGCAATCAAAGACACTTTGCTGTTCGAATATTACAACAAAGTGTCTGCTATGAATAGATACATGGTTTATATCGGCTCTTGTGATAATTGATAATATAGGTAAACAGTTTCCTCTGAGACAAAAATGCGATAATACTCATAAAAAGGACACACTTCAGGCTCATTGCAAACATCTGGAAGGTTTTTGTCTTCACAAGTATACTTTTAAGCCTTCTCGTCAGGTGAAATACTTAGGCTGTTAGGTAGGTCGTCAAAACCTCGTTAGTTACATGTATGTCCAGTGGTTGTCTCTTGTTGTCGCACTACATGTCACGCGTATTGAGTTTTCTCTCACTTGCATCTTTGTCTAATTATTGCAAATTTCGCTGTTTACTTTAGCTATCTTCTTTTTTTGCGCTGTTTTACCACCTTCTTACTGCATTTAACCCACTGTTCCTGTTCCTTTCCCTTGCCTGTATTTCACCTGACGAGACGGCTTGAAAGTATACTTGTGAGGAAGAAACGTTCAAGATGTTTGTAATGAGCCTGAAGTGTGTCCTTATTATGAGTATTATGATAATATAGGCAGTGCTGATTATATGTTATGTATGATCTAGTACACTGTGCCCAGTTCTAAGCATTCGTATGGTCTTCTTGCTACCTCGACACATTATAACTGTTGACAATTTAGGTGGAGCTAAATTTTAAGAAAGAATCTGATATAAGCTAAATGCATATCCTGAGGTGTTAGAAATGCCACATAATATTATGGTACAGGTGCAATACAACCACAAAAGGAAATGCAAAAAGGTACTTGTAACAAGATTACGTAACCAAAGTTGAGAAGCCTCTGAACGAAGGGTCAACCTTCGTCGTCGTGCACTTGTATCATGAATATCCTGAGTGCCGCACGATGTGAAAACACCACATTTAAACCCTAAACGTCATGTACGTTCCTTGCATCCCACTAGATTTTGTGGACCTACAGGAAGCGAGAGTTTCTAAGTCTGAGGAAAATGTTGAGCAGTCGCTGCTTGGATGACTAGTAGTGGTAGAGTGATTAGTGGTAGAGTATGGCTGGGCATAATCGATTGTATCAGATTGGATTCTTGGTGGTCACAGTCATTTTCCCCTTTCCACATTTCCCTCGAGCACATGAACATTGAGATAATCTTTTTATTAGAAGATTTTAAATGTTTTGACGGGTACTTGAACGGGTCTATACAAATGAGACCAGAGGTAGACATGTACATACAGGAATAAACTATCTCACATATTTAGCATTATGTGCCAACTTCAAAACACCACAGCGTCTCTTCTGAGGAAAAGGATCCATACCTAGCATGCGTGCAGAAGAGTAAAGATTCGCGAAAACGTACTGATTTTATAAAACACGAGCCACATGATCAGCTCAACTGTTTTTTTTGTGAATGGTAGATATGGAAATACGTGTACGAAGTGCATTGTGTAACATGGCTAGAAACTGTACAGTATATCAACTCTAAAACAATGATAATGATAATGTTTGTGATGTTTCATATGGAAGTCAGCATGTAAGTAGTGAGTTTTGCTTGTAGTTCAGATTGGGCTGCTTGCATTTCAAAAACGCACTTATAATGAACATTTTCCATAATCTGGGAAAGAAGCCTTTTGTTTAACGGTGTTTTTTGAATGGTCTTCCAGGTGTTTTTTTAATATTGAAAGACTTGTCACAGTCGCTGATAAGTTCCTCTCAGGGATGGATTCGTTCGTGTGCTATTAGATTGGATTTCCGAGAGAAAGACTTTCCACATACTTTACACGAAAATGGTGTCGTTCCAGAATGGAGGCGTTCATGACGTGTGAGATGTGATATTTGTCTGAATGCCTTATTACATACTTGACACTGGAATGGTTTCTCTCCAGTATGGATGCGTTGATGACCTGCAAGATGTGCAGCAGTCCTGAATGATTCGCCACAAACGTTACATTTGAAGGGTTTCCATGCAGTATGGATGCGTTTATGATTTGAAAGATTTGACGGAGTCCTAAATGCTTTGTCACAAACGGTACACTTGAAGGGTTTCTCTCCAGTATGGATGCGTTGATGATTTGTGAGATTTGATCGTTTTGTGAATTCTTTGCCACATTCTTTACACTTGTATGGTCTCTCCCCAGTATGGATGCGTAAATGAATTCTAAGTTGGGAACTGTGTAGAAAACCTTGATCACAGTGATCACAGGCAAACCGCTTCTCCCCGGTATGGTACCGTTCATGAGCAGTATGATTGGATTTATCACTGAATGATTTAGCGCAGAACTTGCACGTGAAGGGTTTGTCTCCTGAGTGAACTCGAACATGACGGACAAGCTGAGATCGCCAATCGAAGATTTTATCGCACACTTTACACTTGAATCGTTTCTCTTCTCGGTGCGTATGTTCATAAGATGTTACACTGGATTGAGTAGAAAATGATTTTTCGCAAAACTTACATTCATACGGCTTTTCTACGGGATCTGAATGTCTGCGATTAAGCATATCATGCTTGCGATCAAGCGATGGCCCAGTTTCCTTGCAATGCGAAGTTTCGGGTTGACGGAAATCAGCTTGAAGCGGAAAATCTGCCTTAGAACTAGACTCGGAGACATGCTGATTTTGTGCGATAAGCTAGACATCCTAAGATCCACTGGAACATGTTCGATATTGTGAACCTCCAGGTCGGCAGATTTGCATGAGTATTCGCCATCTTACGACTCATACCCATCGTGTGCGTGGCCTGTGTAGTGATCTGAAACAGAAACGGGATGGTTAGCAGTTTGGTTACGGTTGCTTTCAGATCTTTGGCCATTGTCCATTGCTGATGTCATTGGATTAGAGCATGGGTTATCGTCAGTTGCTGTTGAAGGATCATTAGCGCGTGTATCCTTGTTCCTCTGGAACTCTGGTCGAGGTGGCCTGTAGTTGTCTGCTGCAGTGTCCAGCCAAGGATGATCTTGGAGCACACTGGAGGTAGATGTTGGTGTGTTCCAAGAGGTGAATGAGGAATGCTGAAGTGCATAATTCGCAAAGGAGCCTTCTGAGGTCATCTCTCGGTCACCGCTATTGGGGTTTGCGTGGTGATGAGCCTTGTAAGTCGTACCGTAAAATGGTATATTTCGCTGTGGGGGATACCCAGTTGACCTTCTGCTGGTCCATATCACTAATGGTGGAAGTGGTGAGAGTGCATCAGAGTCGGCACTTCCATCCGAAGTCGAGTCACAATCATCCATGATCCACTTACTTCAAGAATTCTTCCAAACGCAATTCTGTTGCCATGTAGGGCAAAGTATCCGAATTCAATAGCAATAATCCATAGAGCAGAAACAACTTGTGATAGGAGATTAGTACTGTAAACAGTAGCAGCTGTGTTTCCCGAATAAGTACATGAACACTTTGATAATTATGCACGTCTATTTCTAGCCACTTACTTTTACCTATGAGCTGCTCTATTATTATCACTAACACGACCAATGTCTTAACAATCAGCTCATGCGATACATTTGCACGACATTTACCGACTTTGACCAACATTGACCGACGTTGACCGACGTTGACCGACATTTACCGACGTTGACCGACATTTACCGACGTTTACCGACGTTGACCGACGTTGACCAACGTTGACCGACGTTGACCGACGTTGACCGACATTTACCGACGTTTACCGACGTTTACCGACGTTTACCGACGTTTACCGACGTTTACCGACATTTACCGACGTTGACCGACGTTTACCAACGTTTACCGACGTTGACCGATATTATAGCGTAACTAGTAGTTTCTTGGTCTTTTTTCTTTTCTATAAATTTATCCTTGTTTCTTCATCCGAGTCCATCCTTACATTTAAGTGACACATCATGATCTTTTCACATCATGCGCTCACGCCCGGAAACACACACATGCACACTAACACAAACAAACACCCCCTCCCCCCTCCCCACACACAAACACACACACACTATCTCTATTTCCATAATTTTCTTCACCTAAACGCTTGACATGGGATCAGCCAAGCTTCGTGTGGAGTCTGCAACACTTGACAAGAGGTGATGCAATCTGAGACACTTTGTTGTTAGAATCGAAGAACACAAAGTGTCTGCTATGAATAGATGCATGGTTTATATGGTCTCCTGTGATATGGTCTAGGTAGTACGGGATATTTGTTACGCAATCGATTAAAGTACGCCCTGTTCTAAGCATAGATTTGGTGCTCTTGCTAACTCGTCACGTTATACCTGTTGACAATATCGGTGGAGCTAAGTGTTAAGAAAGATATAAGCGAAATGAATATCGTGAGTTCCGCACTATGTACAAACAGCACAATTAAAACAGGAAACGTGTTGTACGCTCCTTGCATCCCACCAGCTTGTGTGGATTCACAGAAGACGTGAGTTTCTAAGTCTGTGGAAAATATTGAACGGTCACTGATCGGATGACCACTAGTGGTAGAGTACTTAGCTGTAGGGCATCTCTGGGCATAAGCGATTGTCACAGGTCACAGGATTGAACCGCCGCCCCAACACCATTAAAGCCTGTTTAGCTCAAAACATTTAACAACGGATTCACCTCTCCATTTGTCAGAAAAGGCAGTTAGGACACAGTATCTTCTTCGAAAGATTCCATCGACACCCAATTTGGGGTGCTAGCTGTACTAGTACTCGTCCGAACTAGCTCACACGCTGCACTGCATGGCTCTATACTGTCTTCAAGACTGACGTCATGCGCTATGTTTTGCTGCATAATCACAAAACTATGGCACCCAACTCGTTTTGCTGAAAAGAAAAACCAATCTTGCTTGCCCTGTTGTGTTCTTCCAGACAACAGATCGTGCTTCTGCAGTGTTGCTTTTCCCCCCATCCCTCCCTATCCAACGTATTCAGACCATCATGATAATAATGGTAGGAACTGATCGAGTCCACGTTCTCAACTGGTGTTATCTACATGTAGCCATTTCCTGCGGCTCTGCCTTGAGCTATATTACATCCATTAGCATTGCAGCTCTACGGTGAGCTAACAGCAGCTCTACTTTGAGCTAACAGCAGCTCTACTTTGAGCTAACAGCAGCTCAAATTTTAGCTAACAGCATCTCTACTTTGAGCTTACAGCGGCTCTACGTTTGGCTATTAGCTTCTCTACTTTGAGCAAACACTCTCACAACTGGTGTTATCTGGCCATTTTCTGCGGCTCTGACTTGAGCTATATTACATCCATTAGCATTGCAGCTCTACGATGAGGTAACAGCAGCTCTACTTTGAAAGACGTCATAGTATCCGGCTACAATGGAACAATAAACCGACATTCACAGCGACAATCATACACACAAACGGACAAGCGCACACACACATGCAAACACAACGAAAGTAGAGGAAGAAATGAACACATCTAAGAATTATCGGCTCGCATGTCAGGTCAAAACATCACCGCAACACACCTACTAAACTACCATACATTCCATCAATTATCGCGATAATATTATAATAAAAAATTAAAATAATAAAAAGTACAGTTTACGAAACCGATTGAATGCACTACGAAGATTTCAGAGCTTAGCATAGGTCGCAATTCTACACACGTCCAACTCCATTCTGTACATTCTCCTAACCCATTGACTGAATATGACCAGAAGGAAATTACTAGCACACCACCGAGCGTGTTTGGTAATGCAAGAAAAAAGAAGACGACAACAGGAAAGTACGAGGAAAAAATTGCACATTCCCAGCAATAATGTATTACTTTGAACGATACATGAAAAGCGCAAACAGAATCATAGTACATGTGTTTGAAGAAATTTCAGGATATGACGGTGCACACAGAGCAATAACTATAACTGAACAGTTACCAAAAATGCCTATAAGAAAACGAGTTAGAGAGTTTGAAGCATAAACAAGGAATAATGTTTGAAACGCTCTTTGATAGGTTAAAAAGCATTTCCCATAATCTTGAAAACGATACTTCTGTTTTCGGTGTTTTGTATTTCCATGGTCTTCCATGTTGTTTTTCGCATTGAAAGGCTAGTCACGATCACTTGTACTTGATCAGGTTCTCTCCAGGATGGATCCTCTCATGACGTGTTAGGCTGGATTTCTTAGTGAAAGACTTTCCACATTCCTTACGCGAAAATGGTTACTCTCAAGTATGGATTCGTTGATGATATTTGAGAGTTGACATTTCCCGAAATGCCATGCCACATACTTTTCACTTGTATAGTTTCTCTCCAGTATGGATGCGTTGATGCGCTTTGAGATGTGATTTCGTCGTGAATGACTTGTCACACCAGTTACACTTGAATGGTCTCTCTCCAGTATGGATGCGTCGATGCCGGGTGAGATCTGATTTCGTCGTGAATGACTTCTCGCATGATTTACACTTGTGTGGTCTTTCTCCAGTATGGATGCGTCGATGCACGGTGAGCTTTGATTTCGTCGTGAATGACTTCTCGCATGATTTACAATTGTGTGGTCTCTCTCCAGTATGGGTGCGTCGATGCACGGTGAGCTTTGATTTCGTCGTGAATGACTTCTCGCACGATTTACACTTGTATGGTCTCTCTCCAGTATGGCTACGTTCATGAACTTTAAGATCGATATTACGGCGAAACATTTCATCACAGTAACCACACCTGAACGGCTTCTCCCCGGTATGGATACGTTCATGAACATGTAGGCCGTGTTTGTCACCGAATGGTTTTGCGCAGTACTTGCACGGAAACGCTTTGCTTCCTGAGTGAAGTCGTGCATGTCGGGTAAGATTATGTTGCGTGCTGCACATTTTGTCACACTCTTTGCACTTGAGCGATTTCTCTTCTGGATGTCTAGATTGATGAGAACTTAGGCAAGACGGAGTAGAAACAGATTTATCGCAATGCTTACATCTATATTGCTTTTCTCCAGGATGTGAATGTTCGCGATCAAGTCTATCGGGCTGGCGATCAAGTGACTTTTCGGTTTCTTCGCAGAGTGTATCTTCTGGTTCCGGAAAGTCAGATTGAAGTTGACAAACTATCTCAGAACACAGCTCAGAGTTGTGATGAGTGTTGATCTTTTCAAGATCGTAATGATCGGAATCCGCGGGTAAGCTAGCCACTGGAGAAGACACTGGAAAATGGCCGAAGTTGTGTACAAGCCTTACGTGAACGTTCATACCAGCAGATTTGCTGTAGTTTTTGCCATATTCATTGTGAAACGCTACTTCCTCGTAGCCTGTGGACTTATCTGAAACGGGTTCGCGATAGCAGTTAACGGTTGGGGTACTGTTACCTTGCGAAATTTGATCCTTGTCCATTGCCGATGTCAAGGAATCCAAACATGCGTTTTCGACAGCTGTATTTGAAGCATCACTGGTCTTTGTATCCTTGTTCCTCTGGATTTCTGGTCGAGGGTCCTTGATTTTATCTGTCACTGTGTCCTTGGGTACATGATCTTGAAGAACACCGGCGCAAGATGTTCGTGATTTCCAAGGGTTGAATGCGGTATTCCGAAGAGAAAACTGGAAAGAGGAGAATTCTGATGTGGGTTCTTGATTACCACTATTGGGGTATACACGTACGTGGTGAGATGATGCAGTTGGCGGTGGAGGACACGCGGTTGACCTTCTGCTTGACCATATCACTAATGGCTGCAGGGGTGAGAGTGCATCAGAGTCGTCACTCTCCTCCGAAGTCCAGTCACAGTCGTCCATGATTTACCTACTTCGAACAATTCTCACAACCGTAATTCTTCTTCCTAGCACGGCAAGGTTTTCTAATAAAAAACAAACAAATAAAATGCTTGGAAGTAACAAGAAGTCAGTTCAAATAGGAAGACAATACTCCCTAGTTGTATTCAATAGTTTTGTAATTAGTAAACAGCTAGTGTTTGACTTTAGTAATTGGAAGAACAATGCGCAGAATCTGCACATCAACACAGTTCACATCTATTTCTGGCACTGAAATTATACTTTCCACAACATTATAATCTTGTGAAATCACGCGCATACACTCAATCACATACAAATGATATTAGAAAAGCTGACAGGATCGCTTTTCTAAAATACAAAAACCCAACCCACGCCCATCTTTCTTATGAAGTCTTCACACCCAATTTTGATTTGGAATCACACAATTTGAAGCATATAATAATGTCATGCCGATGAGGAAAGGGATAGGATGAGGCGATGGTGTGAGTCTAGGCCGACTAGGGACAAGTATGTGGGGAGATGAGGCATGAAGATATGAGGTGTGAGGACACGAGGCATGAAGAGATGAGGTATGAACAGATGAGGTATGAAGAGATGAGGTGTGAAGAGATGAGGTGTGAAGGGATGAGGTATGAAGAGATGAGGTATGAAGAGATGAGGTATGAAGAGATGAGGTGTAAAACTCTCCATGCTGTACGGAGTATATTTCAACGGCCTGCTACCATTGCAACACTCCTAGGACAGTTTGTGGGGGTTACAACCGACTCTACATCATAATCAGCATCTACTTAAGCTTTGTGCAGAGCACCAGCTGCAGAACATTGTCCACGCACCAACTAGAGCGCCGTCAAACACGTGTCTTGACCTGGCTCTGTTGAACACTACCTTTCCATTGCCCAATCCAACGATCATTCCCATGTCAGATCTTACTGATCACCACCTAGTCCGCCTTGATATTGTAATACCGGAATGGAAGCCCCCAGAAACCCAGAGAACTAAGGTTGTGAGAAAACCAGGAATAGCTACTATCAACTACTCTCAGTTTAATGCTGACCTGAATAATATGCTCGAGGACTCATCCTCATTTTCAACATTGGACAGTCAAACTTGCCATCTTCTAACGTCTATTGCTGCTGTTACTGATACGCATGCTCCATCTAAACAAGTTAGACTACCCCTCTGTCCCAAACCTAAGCCTCAACCGTGGGCAACACCAGAGTTACGGAAACTGCTGCAGCGCAGAACTACTCTGCATCGTAGAGTCCTTTCGCAGCCTGGGAATATGGTTCTTAAGCAACAGTATCGTTCTGTCAGACGTGAGGGGACGCTTCTGAGTAGGAGACTGAAATCCCGTTTCCTGATGCACCAGTTCTCGGCACTCCGACGAAATCCTAGAGGTCAGTGGGCTCTTCTTAACAGTCTGTCTGGCAGGCGGAAAGTAAGAAATCAGCCAATTGCATCTCTCAGTAGTCTGACAGAGACATTTGCTAACATAGTGCACGATCCAAGCCGGCCTGCTGACATATGTTTACGCCCAGCCACCCAACAGCCAACTACTGCTGCTCGACTGTCCCATTTTCGACCCGTAACTGTGGCGCACATCACCACACTGCTCAAAGCAACAAACACAAGTAAGTCACCTGGCTCTGACAACGTCTTACCAGCCGTACTGAAGCATGGTCGTGATTCCATAGCAGTTTCTCTCACTGATATTATTAATAAATCTCTGAGCACAGGGTGCGTACCAGATATTTTCAAGAATGCCACAGTCAGCCCAGTTTTCAAATCAGGCGATGCAGAAAGCTCTACTAATTACAGACCAGTCTCATTATTGCCCATATGCAGCAAGATATTAGAACGAGTTGTCTTGGAGCAGCTGATTGCATTCTTTAAGTTACACAACATCATGTACGTGCCTGACAATCAATTTGCCTACCGTACCAACAGCTCGTGTGAGGACTGCCTAGCGCTAGTGGTCGACGAATGGCTCCAAGCCCTTGATAACAACGAGTACTGCGGCATAGTGTTTGCAGATATGAGCAAAGCTTTTGACCGAGTTAAGCATCAAGAGCTCATTGACGAGTTGAAGATGCTTGGCATAGCTGACACTGCACTTGCTTGGTTTGCAAGCTACCTGACCAGACGCGTCCAGCGAGTAAGAGTAGGACAACAGCTAAGTGGGGCCCGCCCTTGCACAAGAGGCGTCCCACAAGGCTCCGTGCTCGGCCCATTGCTATTTTGCATTTACACCCGTGACGCACCACAGTGCTTCCAACATGCATTAAATCAACTTTATGCCGATGATATCACACTCTATATCAGGCACAAGTCCATCCAGATCATCACAACCCAGCTGAGTGCTGACCTTGCCGCTCTGGACCGCTACCTAGATCAGAAGGGATTGGTGTTAAACCCGTCCAAGACTCAGTTTGTCCTGCTCAGGCGACCGAGCACGGAGCTGCCACCTGGCACCGCAGTCAACTGCCGGGGCACTTCCATAGTCCCATCTGCTTACGCTCGGTACTTAGGAATACTGGTTGACGAACATCTGTCTTTCTCAACCCAAGTGGATGCAGTATGTGCAAATGTCAATAGGAAGGTTGGAGCATTTGTCCACGCAAAGCAGAATATCAGCATTTTTGGCAAACGACTTTTCTATTTATCGATCATTCAGTCCACATTTGAGTTTGGCAGCACTGCATATATTCATTGCTTATCACAAGCCCTATATGACAAGCTTCTTACTGCCAGCCGCGTAGCATTAAAGAGAATATTTTCGTTGGATAGAATGACTCCCACCACTCTTCTATACAGTCATACTAACTTGTACGCCCTTGAGAAACGCCTCAACTTCAAAACCTATGTATTTGTTTACCGCTGCCTGAATGGACTTGCTAGTCCTCTACTGCGAGACCGCTTTACCTTGCGCGCCCATGGTGCTCGCACTGCAGCCACCACCCGTGGCCAAGTCTCTGCTGCTCTTGTTCTGCCCCCCGCTAACACCCGATATGGCTTTAGTGCAATTTCTTATTTGGGCGCTGCCAGGTGGAATACACTTCCACCGGCTTGCCGCATGTCTAGTTCACCAGCTGAATTTCGCTCATCCATCAAATTATACCTAGGGTTCCCTGTAAAAAGGCGCTGACGCCTGTTGGGAATTCCCTAGTAAAAGAAGAATAAATAATAATAATAATAATAATAATCTTACCTCTGCCATCATGGTCTGTTCCGAGTAGCGTTCCAGGCACATTCGCGATCGATGGCCGCGTATCGTGATGCAGGAAGCGTCATCCTACGTCACAGAGCACGCGATCTCGCAGTGCATCTTGCAAAAAAATTCTGCGCTCAGGCCTTCAGTCACTTTTGCATCAACAATCGCACAAAAAATTATTGGTGGCGCAAGGAGAAGCTTGTCGTTTGGAGTGGCAAGTGATCACCGCTGCTTTTCCTTGTCAGAGTCAACACTACACTTTGTTCTGCGGCCTTGGGAGTAGTGTTGGAGTAGAAATTGCTGAGGAGACGTCGCGGAGTGGCGAGCTTTCCTGCGCAGGCCGTATTTCAGCATGGTCGAGTGGAAAAATTCAAAAAAGTTTATTTCAAGAAAACCCCAAAAGGAAGGTGGGGGACATGTCCTCAGCGCTAGAAGAGGTGTTCTACTATCTGCCGGTGTATAGTTCTGGCCAACTGAGGACGTAGCTGGCTGTTTTGCCAGCGCTTGTAAATTGGCTATTTTCAAGACGATCATTTGTGGCGTCAGGGGGTGATGGACCCCGTCTTCTGGGATGCTGGCGTTTCTAGACCCATATATAATGTGATATTTCGGCCATTTTTGAGGGGTATGCAAATTTCAAGGTTTTTTATTATTATTATTATTATATATTTGAGGATTTCCCAAAGACGCAGTCTAAATTGAAGGGAGTTCCATTATAATGGGAGGCTGTAGGGTTGAGATAGCAGACAGTGGAGGGCTAATAATTCGTAATGAACAGCCTAGCAAGAGAAATACAATTATGCTGAATGTTCCAGAATGGTCCTTTAATCAATGATACCTATAGCCTCGGGATATGCCTTGAAATACGAAATGTACCGAAACAGAAACACAAAAATTAATAAGAATAAGCGCAACGCACAAAGAAGGAGGACAGAGGCATGTCAGTGAGGAGTGTTTGCTTCATAAACCTTTTCAAGGGCTTTGCACAATCAATCCACACCCCAAAGGGAACCCACCTGCCAATTTTGAGCGAAATCAGAGAGATCCACTTGCACACATACTTTGGTATTCTCAGACATGCTCTCTTATATATTATCCTGCAAAGTATTATGTACATGTAGGTGCGTGACTACTACGTCATGTACTACAATTGGTACATGACCTAATAATAGCCGTCTGGTATTGTACAATAACCTTTTTTTGTTTTTTGTTTTTTTTTAATGGCTTTCTCTTCTTCCTCGAATGGTTTACAATCTGTATCACAATTATTTGTGGGTCCCGTACCTGTCCCCTACCTGTCCCGTGCCTATCCCGTACCGTACCGTACATTCAAAGACGGTTGGCCACAATGCATATTCAAATAGGCTTTCAAATACAAGACCATAACGTGAAGCAACTTGGAAGAATTAGTATGTATGCGAAGAGTATCGGGGGATGCATGCAGGGCGATAGTGCGGGTTTGAATCCCAGGTTATGTCTCAAACAAAAAGTAGAAACTTATAAGAATTTATAACATCCCTATGCTTTTTTTGTCTAGGTCATCAAGGCAAAAAAGCATAGCGTAGGGCCCTGAGTTTCCAAGCTCTTTATAAGAAGATAAAAAGGACCAAAAAGCTACAAGTGACGCTATAATTATTCTCTAGCAGCACCAGTTACTTTACAATCAGCTCATGCATAACCATTGCACGACACTGACCAACGGTACTGCCAGTCTACACCTAACTGGCAACCTGCTCTAGCACATCTTGGATGCGCACTCCAATAGCCTTCCAGTTTGGAAGGATCTAAGCTATAGAAATAACGTAAGGAGGGGGAAGGTGAGGAGCTGACTGTAAAGTAACTGGTGTGGTTAGTGGATAATTATAGCGTAACCTGCAGCTCTTTGGTCCTTTTTTCTTCTCATAAATTAATCATTGTCTGCCCACCCGAATCTAAATGAATAATAACAAAAGAAAAAGGTGTTAGAAATAACATCATGAAACAAGTGCAATAAAACCACTAGAGGATACGCAAAATGGTAACACGATTACGCAACTAAAGGTGAAAAGGCACTGAACGAAGTGTCAACCTACGAATACAACCTCAGTGCAACAACGTGTTCTTTCTGCTTACACAAAACAAACTTATGAATACGTATACAAACTGTCTCAAGGACTTTCAACTGTTGGACATAACCCGCACGACACAGTACAGAAAAATGAGAGTCATCATACACACCAAGACAGTCAGGACGAGATAACAAGTGTGGATACACAGTTGACTTCTTACGTTCAAAGCTGCATAGCCAGTGGCTGGAAATGGTGAAGTCTAGTCTAGACACTAATATCAAAAAAGTATTCTTTCTAGACCAAACAGTGGTATATTTGATAACATTTAATAACGCTAGAAATATTTACGATACTTCTCCAGACGCTCAGGTATAATAAGGTGATCATGTGTGTATAAAACTTGTATTGGTAATAACTTTGGCATACATTAATATTTTTCAATCAAATTTTCTGTGGTGATACATTGGGTTAGTTGTCATTGATTTCCAATATCAAATTTAAATTATGAGCTGAATGACGTCATCAGTGCTACTTTTTATGTTCAGATTTCAACCCAAAACGCGGAGAAAACGAAAAATAGTAAGGCCACAAATCCTGGTGAACTGGATAGCCTTTGGGCCCTAGATAAAGGATATTGGTGGATATTGTACATAGATAACAACATTTCGCTGGAAACCAGTATCGACTTGTTTCACCATACGCACTGTACACATTTAGTATACGAAGCTGTCGTACCTCGGGGTCTGTTCAGACTCACCACTGCGATGAACGGGTGTTTAGTATCGATATCCAGCACATTCCCGCTTGCTGGGATGTACAGCTAGCCAATGCAACAGCTCTCATTCGCCAAAGACATTCCCCACGCTCCGCGTTTATGTATGAAGCTGTCATTGCCGTTTCAAAATAGCCGACATTGTCTCTTACACATAAATGACTGCGCTGTACATGTAGTGCATCACACCAGCAATCTGCTGTAGATCTACAGACAGTGCATGCAGCGAGCCGAGCATGCGCACTTGAGTAGGGTACTTGAGTCCCACGCGCGATCGCTGGTCACAACTGTGAACTGAGTCTGTACACGCGACTCGACTGTGCTCGTGTCGTTGTGACTTGCAAGTGCACTCTGTACTGCACTGATGTACTAGTACTGTATGACTAGTCGACTGGACAGGAACAATGCAAGTGCAGTTTTCAGTGCGTGGACTCGGCTACTAAAACATTTTGTGGAAGCAAACAAGCCTTCTTTATGATCTTGGTCACTTTTCTCAATCGACTCTGCGCTTCCAGCTAGATGTGTCCGTGGGGTATTGCCCAACTAGAACTGTAGTCCTCACATGCCCCAGGTCGCGAGGAGCTAATCACTTTTGTCAGCAGAACACCTGCTCGGGACTCGACACATTTATTCCGTCCGATGTCATCCCCGCTGCGAGTGGGGAGCTTCATGCCCACGATAAAAGAGAACGTCATGACATTTTTCTCAATCGACTCTGCGCTTCCAGCTAGATGTGTCCGTGGGGTATTGCCCAACTAGAAGTTAGTACTGTAGTCCTCACATGCCCCAGGTCGCGAGAAGCTAATCACTTTTGTCAGCAGAACTCCTGCTCGGGACTCGACACATTTATGCCGTCCGATGTCATCCCCGCTGCGAGTGGGGAGCTTCATGCCCACGATAAAAGAGAACGTCATGATATATTTTGAATCCTTCATCAGAGAAAGCTATTCGAGCTCAAAACGACACAAGACAATGGCCATGATAAAGATACTCATACAGATCGCGATGTGACTGGCCTCCAAAAGTGCTGCAAAAGACTTGAAGTATTTTTCAAAACAAGATTGTGAAAAAAAGGTGAGCGCTCGAGTGCGGCGAACACGGCCAAACGCCATGTTTTCCTTGGTGACATGACGTCAGCCACATTATCACCATGGCGAGTTGCAGCGCTGATCTTGAAGTACAGCGGCACCAGAAAAGTGTCCTTATTCTACCTGAGCGTTTCATTTTTCTGAACAACATCGTCAGTGGATAAAAAAACGAAACGAAACGTCTGGAGAAGTATCGTAAATATTTCTATCGTTATTAAATGTTATCAAATATACCACTCTTTGGTCTAGAAAGAATACTTTTTTGATATTACAATGAGAGTGAACAATCAACGGCCAGACACTAATGCTGTTCTATGACGTAAGGGGCGTAAAGCCGCCAACTACACTTTCACAACTCTACATCTCATAGTATCACATCTCTTCATACCTCATCTCTTCACACCTCATATCTTCAAACCTAATCTCTTCATACCTCATCTCTTCATACCTCATCTCTTCACACCTCATCTCTTCATACCTCATCTCTTCACACCTCATCTCTTCACACCTCATCTATTCATACCTCATATCTTCATACCTCATCTCTTCATACCTCATCTCTTCATACCTCATCTCTTCAAACCTCATCTCTTCACACCTCATCTCATAATACCTTATCTCCCCACATACTTGTCCCTAATCGGCCCTACCGGTACTCGCACCATCGCCTCATCCTATCCCTTTCCTCTTCAGCATGACACACATGTTTCAAATTGTGTGATTCCAAGTCAGAATTGGAGGTGAAGACTACATAAAAGAGATGGGTGTGGGGTGGATTTTTGTATTTTAGAAAAACTGTCAGCTTTCCTATTATCCTTTGTATGTGATTGAGTGTATGCGCGTGATTTCACAAGATTATAATATTGTGTAAAGTATAATTTCAGTGCCAGAAATAGATGTGAACTGTGTTGATGTGCAAACTTTGCACATTGTTCTTCCAATTACTAAAGAGAAACACCAGCTGTTTACTATTTACAAAACTATTGACTACAACTAGGGAGTGTTGTCTTCCTATTTGAACTGACTTTTTGCTACTTGTACTTCTTTTTTATTTGTTGTTTTAATCTGGATACCTTGCAGTGCTAGGAATTACAGTTGTGAGAATTGTTCGAAGTAGGTGAATCATGGCCGACTGTGACTGGACTTCGGAGGAGAGCAACGACTCTGATGCACTCTCACCTCTGCCGCCATTAGTGATATGGACAAGCAGAAGGTCAACCGCGTGTTCTCCACCGCCAACTGCACCATCTTATAGTACTCGTTATCCAGCCCATCACCACGCATATTCCAATAGTGGTAATGAAGTAGCCATATCAGAAGTCTCCTCTTCCCGTCAATTTCTTCAAAGCACCTCATTCAACCCGTGGAAAGCACGAGCATCTTGCTCCGGGGTTCTTCAAGATCATGGTCTCACGGAAATTGTGGAAGATAACTTCAGGGACACTCGATCAGAAATACAGAGAAACAAGGATATAAAGACCAGTGATGCTTCAACCACAACTATGGGAAACTCATGTTTGGATTCCTTGACATCGGCAATGGACAAGGATCAAATTTTGCAAGGTAAAAGTCCACCAAGTGTTAACTGCTATCCCGAACCCATTTCAGATCAGTACACCGACTTCGAGGAAGTAGCGTTTCACACTGAATATGGCGAGAACCACAGCAAATCTGCCGACATGAATGTTCACGTAGAGCTTGTACACAACTTCGGACATTTTCCAGTGTCTTCTTCAGTGGCTAGCCTACCCGCAGATTCCGATCATCACGACCGTGAAAAAATCAACACTCATGACACCTCTGAGCTTGTTTCAGAGTCAGTTTGTCAACATCAATCTGACTTTCCCGAACCAGAAGATACACCCTGCGAAGAAACCGAAAGGTCACTGGATCGCCAGCCCGATAGGCTTGATCGCGAACATTCACATCCTGGAGAAAAGCCATATAAATGTATGCATTTCGATCAATCTTTTTCTACTCCTTCTTGCCTAATTCCTCATGAATGTACACATCCAGAAGAGAAATCGTTCAAGTGTAAAGTGTGTGACAAAATGTTCACCACGGAACATCATCTTACCGGTCATGCACGACTTCACTCAGTAGGCAAAGCGTTTCCGTGCAAGTACTGCGCAAAGCCATTCGGTGACAAACACGGCCTACATGTTCATGAACGTATCCATACCGGGGAGAAGCCGTTCAGGTGTCGTTCCTGTGATCGAATGTTTCGCCGTAATACCCATCTTAGAGTTCATGAACGTACCCATACTGGAGAGAGACCATATAAGTGTAAATCGTGCGAGAAGTCACTCAAGACGAAATCACATCTCAGTCGGCATCAACGCATCCATACTGGAGAGAGACCATACAAGTGTAACTTGTGTGATAAGTCATTCAAGACAAAACCAAATCTCACAGCGCATCAACGCATCCATACTGGTGAGAAACCGTACAACTGTGACGTATGTGGCAAAGCATTCCGCGCAATGTCAACTCTCGCAAATCATCAACGAATCCATACTGGAAAGAAACCATTTTCGTGTAAGGAATGTGGAAAGTCTTTCACTCGGAAATCCGGCCTAACAGGTCATGAAAGAATCCATCGATGAGAGATAGTGATCAAGTGTAAGCGATCGTGAAAGGTCCTTCGATGCGAAAACCAGATGGAAGACCATGCAAATACAAACAACCTAAACAGAGGGCGACTTGTTCCCAAGATCATGGGAGATTTTATTGATAGGTCCGTTCTGAATCCCAAGTGGCGTAAATGTCTTTTACAGCCCAATGTGATATCCATCAGAAGTTCACTGCTTACGGTATTCTATGATAACGTCAACATTATGTAGAACTACAAGCATTATCATTTTTGAATCTATTTGAGTTGATATCCGCTGTTTCTTTCCTTGTTTTCCATTGCATTTCTCACACAGAAGAAACGTGTTTCCATATTTTCCATGCATTAGTTAAAAACGCAATTGCGCTCAACGTTCCTGTATGGTTCATTTTTGATAAATCAGTCCTGTTTTATATCGGATATCCTGCTTCTGGAGCACCAATGCCTAACATGGATCTTTTCGCTTATAGTGGCGATGTGCTGTTTTTAAGTTCGCACATGATGCTAAAATGTTACGCATATATGTACACTTGGTCTCATGTGTAATATTGAGTAGTAGCTTTCTACTCCTTGTCACAACTCGTCGACATCTTCTAATACTATCTAACTGTCCATTTGTTGGATGAAAATGTGTGAACAGGAAATTTGACTGTCAATATCAGAACTCAAACCTGAGAAACCAGATTATGACCTGCAAATTCCGTACTTTTCTCACATGTTCTTGAGCATGAATGTTGTATCAAGAAATGGACTAACGCCACGCTATAGGGTAGTGTTCATCAAAGTAGCCGCCGTTCACCTTTTTCTTCTGACTTCGGAACTCTCGCTTCCTGTGATTTCGCACAGACTGGTGGTTCGCAGCCCTCACTGTTACCCACACGCTTCCCAAGATATATATATAGCGGTGAGGCCCAACAAATATAGTCTTCATCCTTTTGAGAACACTGTGCAAAGGGGGAGGAGCTCTGAAGACAATAATTATTGAGTGTCACCACCAGGGCCCTTTCTTTTGTCCTGTGATGCTCTGTTTGATGTCTTGTTACGTAAATATATCTAACTCCACTGCTTCAGACCAGTGTTAGGTTGACAAGCTGACTACTATAGTCCCAATTAGGATGCACCGCCAGTGTGCTCAATCTGCTAAATACAACGGAGACAGAGAGTACTTGTTATGCCTACCACAGCGGGACAAAGCCAGGTCGTCGCAACTCAGGGTTTCTCGCACGAGGATGAGTTTCATGATCATTACAGTTCAATCATAGTGTTACCAAAAATGGGCATTACAATATCCTTGTAGCATGGAACTAGACTTTTTCCATTGCTTTACTCGGAATAAATGTGAGCTCGTGCGACACAAAAAAGACGGGCTATGATATGTTTCAACGAGGAACTGATCTTCCCTTCTGTATGATTGGGTGTATCTCATTCACTGCGAAGACACTGTTATTCACTATACTAGGAGTCATGGGGCGGCGTCTGTGCTTAATCCAAATATATCTCGTGTCTTTTACTGCAATGTTAGGTAGGAAAACATGGATGCAGTGAATGGGATTTTCGGTCTTTAACCACTTGCTCGTGAGCTGATCTACTCACCTCCTAACCGCTTTAGGAGCTGCAACTGTGCCTTGATCCTTGAAGGATGGAGGCGCTCCTGCGGACGCGGAAAGCCCGGCTTCCAGTCTGACGCGACCCGTGACAGAGAATCTCGTCTACAGTCCTCAAATTCGATTCGGTGAGGCACATTCCTGATTGGCATTTCCAAGACCATTGCTCACAGATCTAGGGCTGCACAACACGAAGATCCTACTTCAGTGACTGGATCGTCTACATCAAGTCATAGTGCCTACATCTCCACACTTTTTGGTGCGCTGCATTGTCGCTGAACCGGAGACAGTACATGAACGCATTCATACAGGAGATAAACCTTTTCATTGTGGCAGGAATGTGGAAAGTCTTTCGCCATCCAGTCTAACAGTCATAGAATCTATCCCTGAGAGAATATGATCAAGTGTTAGCGTTCTTGAGAAGTTTTTATATGCGAAAACACGCCTTTGAAGCCCTTGCGAATACTACCAGCCGAAAAGTTGTTTTTCTATATGTTTATCCTAGGTCTCCATGCAAATTTCACTACTTACATGCTGACGTCAACACATTTAACATCAATACCATTATCATTATCATTGTATTCCAGTTGATATCTACGGTTCTATTCTATGTTATCCGTTGCACTTCTTATAGAGAAGAACTGTATTTCCAAACTAATCATGCAAAACCTTTTAACCTTTTAATCTTTTAATTGCGCTGTGTGGTTCATTTGTTGGCAAAATAACATTCTTTTCTTCAAAATGTCGCCCATCTTCAACGAGAATGCCGGATACAGATATTTTCGCTATAACATACGCTGTG